CCGTTTGAAGGGTTTTTCTCCAAGTTCCCAAGAAATTGCCACTTCCTCTAGGACATCAGAGCCGTCCCTTCTTCTCCCCTGTCCCTCCAGGACAGGTTTTCAGTCCAAAGACCTCCCAACAATGGTTTGTATGGGTGGATTTCCGCGAGGCTCAGCAGAGCCTCCTTTTTTCTTAGCTGGTCTCACTGCAACCCTTCTAGCTTCTGGGGTCTTATTTTCTTTTGACCCCCAAAATAAGCACTTGACCTTATTTTGGGGGGTCTTATTTTTGAGGTTCAGGAGGTGGCGAGTGTGGTCACCTCATGGCTGCTGCTGTGTTGCAATATTTTCAGTGAGGGCTTATTTTCGGGCAAACAGGTTAAGTCAGTGTCATCTTTAGGAAGTATGACTAAATTAACTCTGCATTGATATATTGACTCTTGCACTTTTCTTTAATACTGAAGTATTCTTTTCCCCCCTTTTGTTCAATTACATCTAATTCTTGGAGACTGCCTGGACAAGTCCCTGCAGTTTTCTTGGCAAGGTTTTTCAGAGGTTTTGCCTCCTTCCCAGGGCTACGAGAGAATGACTGGCCCAAGGTCACCCAGCTGCATTCATACTGAAGGTGGGAATAGAACTCACAATTTCCTTGATTCTAGCCTGAATCACCATGACACCAAACTGGCTGTCAAAATATTCATGTCAAATCTCAAAAACGTGCTCTTCAATGGATTCTGAAACCACTTCAAGTCTAAAGTCTAACTAAAATTAAGTTAAACTTTTAAAAAACATACTTTGCTTTCTTCTTAAATGCGTTATATGTAAGAAAAATGTTATGGAGGAATAAGCCTATAATAGTTTCAGACATATATAATTGTGCCTTTCATGAAACATACATTTCACTGATTACATTGAAATTGGAACAGACAACTCTTGGTTGATTACCTTTAATGAATATTATGGAGCAAGGAAGATAAGGGCTTCTTTGGTATAACAATAATAAAGGAGGATGTGGCTGCAGGGTGAATTTTTATTTTATAGAGTTTTTTTTTCCTAGTGTGTGTGTGTGATGTCAGGCAGTTTTATTAGGTTTGTAAAAGTTGTGTCATCTCTATTTTATTCTAAAACTACATTTTCCAGGTATTTTCTATTTAGAAGCAGCAGAAAACTGAAAACTATAAATGTGTGGTTAAAAATGAAATTCATTCTATTTTATCTGCTACTAAGATCCTGAAGAAACATAAATCTAGAAAGAATAAATTCACAGTTACAATATTAGATAGCAGCGTCCGTCCATATTTTCATCCTGCTATTTTAACTAAAGATAATGTATTAACATAAGAGAAAAATCTTAGGAATATTTTTAATTTTAGATTTTGTTGGTACTGATTTGAGTGTTCATGAAGAATTCAGGAAGTCCTTGTTGATTTTTCTTCATTTTCTTTATTTCACTTTCTTCATTTACCTTCTCTGACTTGTGGTGATTTATTGAACAACAATTATTTTAAAGCAGAATGTATGATATAAAAATAGCAATCACAATCAAATGTATATTAAACCAAAACATGCTTTAGATTTTCAAGGATTTCGTTCTATTGTAGTAGTCTGACTATAGAGCCAAAATGCAATAAATAAATAGATAATAGATACATAGCCTATGAAATGAGACTATGAAATGGGAGCCAGTTTGTTGTAGTGATTATAACATCAGGCTAGACAGCAAGAGAGTTCACAAGTTCCAATCCTACCTCAGGCACTGAATTTGACCAGCCACTTTCTCTCATCCCAAAGAAGAAAGAAAGAGCAAACCATTTCTGAAAATCTTTGCTGAGAAAACTGCAGAGACTAGTCTATTCTAGAATTAACAGACATAGACATAAACTATGATGACTATGATTTAGAAACAACTAAATATTAATATTCATATAATACAGATGAATTTCTATACCATGTTAACCCCCCACCCTTTCATATAAATTACACCTGCAATCTATATCCTTCTTGTCTAGGTTATTTTGTATCATCTCATATAAGTCTGATAGCAAAGTTGAACAAACTTGTCTTTCAGAGATATTAAACTGCTGTTTAATATTTCAAATAGATTAAGTATTTCCTGGAGAAATTTATGAACCAAGTTAAACATAAAGGGAGGAAAATTAAGTCTATACTCTGACAATGCAATAGAAGTCATTTCTACTTATGAATAATATGATTATTCACTGTATACCATTGAAGCTGTAATCTATATATTGTACATAGTAAACCTCATTATACATATGCAATTTCTTTCAAAAACACTGACTTAGGAACAAAATATCGTCATTTTTGCTGTCTTTCTTCTTTCTATAAAGACATTGAAATTCATTGTATTAAACTTACTAATAACAGTAAATAAAGTTTGAAATATGGATAAAAAGCTATAATATTGATGCAATGATAAATAACACGTGATTTTTCTTCTTAGTGCATCGCAATATGAGCCAAGCTTGTCAAGGAGGATGTGCAACATGTTCTGAATACAATGGATGCATGTCATGTAAACCTAGACTCTTCTTTTTCCTGAAGAGGATTAGCATGAAACAGATTGGGGTGTGTCTTTCATCCTGTCCTCCTGGGTATTTTGGACAACGATCCCCAGAACGAAATGAGTGCATGAGTAAGTTGACAGAATGTTGCAACCATTGCTTTCTAAATTTTGCTTAATATTTGGAAAGTTTTGAACTTTGAAAGCACAAAAAAAAAACCATGAGTTGTTGGTAAATTGATCAGATAGTAATAGCAGATATGATTGCTCATTTGAGCTCACTTCAATAAGCTTTGTGCTATATATTTGTTGTGACTTAAGTATCATCTGATTTATTCAATACCCTCACATTAAATACCATGCCTCCTCCAGGGACAGCATGATGACAACAATATATCAAGGTTTATTTAGAATCTGAATCTAAAATACAATATTTCATAGATTATTATTATTAGACAGTTTAAGACTGGTGGAAACTTAATAATTCAAGTACTAATCAAAGACTAAACATTATTAAGTTACTATCTAAGATTTATTACTATTAAAGTATGTCTAAGAGTTAATATTAAATAATATTATAGTTATTTACATTATGGATCCCATCTCTAGTAGAGCTTAATGTGTATTCAGGGACTCATCTTCAGTCATCCCTGCAGTAGATACTGTTGCTTATAATAAATCCTTAGATTCAACATAGATTTTGCAATTAATGTTATGCATTAATTCAAGATATATATGTATATGTATATGTATATCTATATGTATGTATATGTATATGTATATGTATATCTATATGTAT